CACTTATTTTTTTCTATACAAGATGGTGAATATTTTTAGATTTTTTTATAAATATATTCTTCTTTCACGTACAAATAGTTTATAAGACGCCGAATTACACAGATAAGAGTCTGTTACAAAAAGGTTTAAAGACATTATAGTACTTAATGCACAGAAATCTACATATAAAAAATTTCTGAGTCAAATTTGTACATTAGCTATTTTTTGGAAAATCTTATTGAAATAGTCATTACTATCGATACAAGGGGCCGAATCTATAGTTTTTAGAATTTTTGTCTGTCTGGGAACGCATCACGAGAAAATCACTGGACAGATTTTGATGAAATTTAGTAATAGTAATTAGTGATGATAGCTGGATATCCGGGACAACATATAGCATACTTTTTATTGCGGGAAAATACCTCATCTCTGACAAATCTATACTAAACATTAAAAAGTAACTATCTGTATATTGTATCTACTGTGAATCCGAGCGGAGCAACGATGAGCCGCTAGTTATGTCATTATTTTGAAGTTATATATATATATATATATATATATATATATATATATATATATATATATATATATACTTTAATGTCTATGTGCACAAAAAATCCTAGGATATGTAAATTCATATCTATATTTTCCTACAAGCTCACTTGAATTAGGCTATAATAATTAATGTTATATCAATTCTTTATTTTAAACTTTGCTGTTTGATATATTTTAAGTAATTATCTCGTACATGCTATCCTGAATGATCAGCACAAATTCCCTTAGACTGTACATAATCTTTCCAATTATCATTCTGACTTGGTGTAAATAATTCACCAGAAAATAAATTAAAATGGACAAAAGACCTGCTATTATTATGTAATTTCAATTTAATAATTAATTTCATAACTACTACTTTATAGGATGAGAGTTAAAATTGAAAATTAATTTCTTGATGACTTTTTTTAGTTTACTTTTATTTTTATTTACTTTAATTTATTTTTATTTTAGATGTTGATTATAATTTCTATAACGTCGAAAAAAAAGTCTAATTAATTACGGCTTCTTTAAAAAAGTACTTTTTCAAGCGATATTCCTTTCATATACAAGAATCCAGCTAAAGAAGCAACATTTTTTCATTGCTCAACTCAATAAATTAACTTTTCCATTTCCATTATCATGTTTAAGTTCAAATAATCGTATTCATCACAAAATTATCATAATTGGAGTCACTTTGACACTCTAAAATTATTTTTAAGAAATATATTTAGAAAGAGAAAATTGAGTTCTGATACTTCTAGTACTAATTTCACTATTATACACCCCAGAATTTCATATAATAAGTTCTTATATACATATCTGACTTGACATAGAAATAGTATAGTCTTTATATATTTTCCATTACATAAACTGTTAGTCTAGTCCACCACGGATTTTTTAATGATTAATTACAAGCTAAAACTTCATGAGTAACTTCGTTTTGACGAGACGCCCAACTTTTCTTTCTACGAAAATTTGATAGTGGTAGATACAATATGCATGATTTTTTTTCATTTTTCATATGCTTACATCATCATATATAAGTATCATTATATACAAGTATAAAATTATCCAGCTCCAAAAAACTAAATATTTTTTTTTAAATACGTTACGAATACTTTAAACGCTCGCTATATCGCGCGCTTATTATGACGTCACAGTATAATATATACAGAGAAATGTCGACTCAATTTGTAAGCGACAAAATCGCTATTGCTCTGTTATAAAATACTCTGACGTCATATTCAGTCAGTCCAATGGCGTTGCGTTTCAACTACTTTGAATTTCCCACCTGATTATGCACTTTTTAATAATTCTTTTCTTAATCAAACGAAATTACATAAAAAAAGATTAATGTTGGCTTAATAAAAAAGCAATAAAGATTATTAAAAAAAATTGACCTTTAAATCACGCGCATATTCCCTATTGTGCATATATACATGTCGAAACGGTGATTGTCTAAAATTTATTACTACAGGTTTACTTACTTATACAGGTTGTTTTACGATTTAATCTTGAGATAATCTATACATATAATAAAACAGTAACTTAGCGAAATCTGTACATGATATTTTTTAAAAGCAATGACTAACGTATTGTGTACATAATATAGACCCCAAACAATAGTTAATAATTTTTTTATCTGTTTGTTTGTTTGGGAGTGCGCGTTTCACGCAAAAAGTACTAAACCGATTTTAACTAAATTTTATGTAGTGAATACTTATTACTCGGGTCATATATGTGTATTCAGCCCTTTTTGACATTCCACTGCTGGGCACGGGCCTCTAGAACAGGACATAGGTTACTTTTTATCACGGATAAATATAAGGTTCCAGTGGGATAGATTTGTTGTTGTTTTTCACAGAACAAGCGATCTATTCCATACTAAACGTTAAAACGTACCTAAGGCCGAACCCGAGTGAAGCGAGGATGAGCCGCTAGTCCAACACAAAACAAGAAAAAAAAATTTTGTCCTACAAAAGAGATGGTTTGGATAAAATCGTCCCCCTCTCCGAACTTGTCAAAATAACGTCATAAAATTTATTAATAACAGACTGATTTTTATAGTATTTATTATTAAAAATTGTCATGATTGAATGATCAAATCATCCTACAAATAAAATGGTAGGTTTCCTCAGTCCTATGCTCGGATACTGTCTTCCGCACGGAATTCATCACTAACTGTTGGACAAAGGGAGCATATGAAAGGTAAGTGTATCACTACATATTATAAAACGTCCTCCGCCGCGTCTGTCTGTCTGTCTGTTCGCGATAAACTCAAATACTACTGGACCGATTTTCATGCTGTTTTTACTAATAGATAGAGTCGTTCTCAAGGAAGGTTTTACTATATAATTTTTTAAGTTTTTGTATACATTGGCTAAAATATAACGATATTTGTTGGAGGTGTGGAAAAAAATTAGCAGTCTGGGAGCTTTCAACGAAAACGCTGCCTAAACCAGGGTGGGGCGAGGATGAGTCGCTAGTTTTCAATAAAAAACATTGTCCTACAAAAAATATTTAAAATAAGTGGTTTAAGTAAAATCGTGACGTGACACAAAAGTAATTAATAAAGATATGTTGTTATTAAGTGTTATTTAGAAAAATTTATCATTAGATACTTTTTAAATTATCGAGTTTCATAATTTTCATAATTATACTACGGGACTTAACGGGCACTCTGCCTGTGACCACGGCTGGTGCAACCCAGTCGAAACACCCGGAACAAGGTATATAGCCACTTACAAATTCACGCGTTAAATCCCGTAGTGTAATTATTATTTATCAATAGACGTCAATCACCATGTGTTTATGAAATATGTTCCTTCTTATATTGATTTCATCATCTTAAAATTTGAAATTATTTTATATATATTTTTTACTAATTATACCACTTCATTTGTAGGACAATTGTATTAACGTGTGTCTCATATTTTTTTTCTTAAAAAAATTAGCAAAAATTAGCTTGTTATTAATGAATAAAATATCACCGTGCGGGAGACAGTATTCGAGCGTAGGACTGAATAATCCTACCATTTTATTTGTAGGACGATGTGACCTTCAATTATGCACATTTCTAATAATAAATACTATGAAAATCGGCCGGTTATAACAAATTTTATGGTGTTGTTATTTTACCAATGTCGAAGAGAGGACGATTTGATCCAAACCATCTGTTTTGTAGGACAACATTTTTTTCTTGTTTTATATTGGATTATCTCAAGATTAAATCGTAAAACAACCTGTTAATAAATCTTAGACAATTGCTATTTCGACATGTATGAAACACGAACTTCACTCGTGAAGTTTTAGCTTGTTAATAATCATAAAAAAAACCGTTAAGAGACTAGATTACTAATATTTCAGCCCAAAATCGAATATTATTACATATTTTGATATATCAAGCTAGAAATAGAAATAATATAATTTTATATTCAATCTATTGGATAAACTGTGTAATTAGATACTAGATAACTATACTAAATAGTAGTAATGTTAATGTACGTCATAATTAAGTCTTATATTAACTTTAATTCTAATTCTTCAACATAAAATAATAAAAAATATTAATATAAAGCTGATATTGTAATTATATAATATGCGTATTATATATAAATACGTTTTTTCAAGTTATAACAGTTTTTGACTTTTGGATATTATTAATTGCTAACTTTTTGTCAAAGTTCACTAGATAAGAGGAAAAATAGAAATGATATCAATATCATAACAAAATTAAATGTCATGCTGTACTTGGAACGTTATCGCATTTGGTATTTTGTCAATGTTGTTAAAGCATCAAATTAGAAATTATAATATTATTTATTTCTACTAAAACCATTTTACTGGTCCAATCGTCATGTTCTTAAAATAATTAATATATGTATAAGACTAAGTACCACAAGTAAAAATGTTGTTTGATTATATATAAACACTTCTGATATTCGTTTCAGTATATACCACTCAATATTAGTCGACTTTTATCACTACGAGGTTACCTTATTGATGTTGACAGGTGACGTTCTTGCTAATAGGCTTGATGGTATATAACTACTTTTGTATCGCCATTTCAGAAAACTGTCGATGTTCATACGTTCGGGTATTATTACGAGAAAGAAATTACTTTTCAATGAATATTAAATTCGAGGGAGGGAGCATTTGAGTATTTTCCCCTGGAATAAATTCCTTATAAGATACTTAGGCCCGCCCGTGTATCGAAGTTGTTAACCCTTGCAATTGGGTCACACCTCTAGCACAACCCTCTTCAGGTAAGAGGTGCCGGGCCTGTAGGAATAAAATACAAGGCATTAATTTTGTATAATTTACACGAGAGCCATCGAGTGCGACGCAGCTCAAGGCTCTTGAAGCTGCACATGGACATAAAAGGAAAAAGAAACAATTTTGTATACCTTCAAAATGTGTGCACTGATGCATCACGATGGCTCAAGTGAGCTTAGTATAATAAAAAAATGGAATTGTAAGCCTACCTTGAGCAAAGTATTGATTTCTCTCAATGACGTAATAGGAAATCCCTCCTTTTCCTTCTCCATTTTGAGTCGTTTGAGAGCGACTATTTCGTCGGTGGTCTTGTCGCGCGCTCTGTAAACAACTCCGTACGTGCCCTCCTCGATTCTATTGAGGCATTGAAACTCCTCAACAGATCGACATCCCTATAAATTAAAATTCATTAGCACACCGAATATAAAATTTGTCATTCTAAAACTATTACATTTATTAGTAATTGCTAAAGTGTTTTGAGACTTACACAGAATTTGATGTTCCAATAACAGTTAAGGTTCATTTTAAATGCACTTTACTGTTTTGTTGCTAAATATAATTGGTTTAATGGAAATAAGATATTTTTATATAGAGTACTTGAAAGATTTGTAGACAACTAAAAGAATGTCAAATTACCTGCAAGGCGGGATAATACGGTGGTAAAGCATTCATTGCCTCTTCTCTTAATTTTGCTTCCTCATCATCTTCTTGAGGTTTTTCTTCCTCAGTATTAACTTTACCATTTTCACCAGGCGGAGGAGGTGAAAATGAATGTGATCTGCTTCTACTTTTTGATCTTGATTGTGACCTTTAAATTTTTAATAAGTGTGATGTAATTTGTAAAAAATTACACTTGAACTAGAGCATTATGCCTGAATATTTTAACCATTATTTTAAAATTGCGTATTATTATTAAATTATATTACAACTAGCGACTCACCCTCGCTTTGCTTGGGTTCATCCCTAGGTTTTAATGGTTAGTGTGGATATTCAACAGAAAAAGTACATTTTTCTAGGATAAAAAGTGACTTATGTGTTATTCCAGACTATAACATATCTCCGTATCAAATTTCATACAGATGTTCTGTCATGATTGAATGAAAAACATCTATCGATCCAAACTTTCACGTTTACAATAGATACATATATTATGGGATGATTATATATAATTGACCACTATTTTGCAGGATATTTACAACACAGTTATTAGTAATATGAATATTACAATTACATGCATCTTTATGTTGATCTTACATTTAGCTTTTTATCATATCATGATAGTAATAAAATTATTCTTACCTTACAGATTCATGTGATAATGGACTGGCGTGATTGGACTTGGGTGAAACTGGAGATTTGGAATTTGGCCTAGATTTATGTACTTCATCTATAGTTTCTTTTTCATCTTCTTTCCCTGATTTTACATCCATATTTTCATCAGCAGACTTAGAATCTGCATCTGACTCAGAGTCAGATTCTGTGCTTTCATCTGAGTCTGAATTAGTGTGTTCACCTGTAATTGGTTATTTACATAATGTTTTACATTTGGATACAATTGTTAATATAGAATAAACTAGCAGAACCCACTGCTTCGCTTGCGTTAAAACTACAAAAAATAGAACAAATTCTATGGTTTCATGTTATAAGTAATAAATTCAGAAACACGCGGCTTCCCGCACGCCCTGCACCACCCTCACACCATACACTCGTCGGCATGGTAGAAGAGCCAAAGATTTTCGAAATCCTATTTGACTCTGTTGGGGAATGATTTTGGGAAAACTGTGATACACGTGTCTCATACTTTAATTGAAGAACATATGTACCAATTTTCTAGTCAATCGTCCCAGAGAATAAAAATGTTCACAGAAAATTCACTAAAAGTAACAACTACTTTATTTAAGGAAATAAAAAATTCTGTAATTCACATACAAACATCTACATTCTGCATTCCAAACAAACAAATACTTATCAAAGTATTCTCTACACACAACTTATAGTTTTACTATGCAAATATGTGGGTATTTCCCAGAGCACATTTATCATTACACTAGCAGTACCCGCGGCTTCCCTCGCGCTAAAACTACCAAAAACTCTATATAAGTAGTTTCATACAAACTTTCATCCACTATTTTACCCCCTTATAAGATGAATTTCGAAAAATGCTAAAACACGTATTTATTTAATTTTATTGAAGAGCATTAATACCTAGTTTCAAGTAATTCTAATCATAAATATTTTTTTGGATTGTATTATAAAGTTTTTTCCCGTGGGAATTAGGTAAACTCTCGCAGTAAAAATAAGCCTATGTCAATTTCCAGCCCTCCAACTATCACACAAAATATCACGCCAATTCGTCACTCCGTTTCGACGTGAAAGAAGGACAAACAAAAAAACAAACACACTTTCACATTTATAATATTAGTATGGATTCTTAACAAACTTTGAATAATAAAATAAATTCTTTTATACCTTCTTCAGGTTCAGAATGAGGTGAATCACTCTTCATCTCCACATCACTAGCATCCGACACAGTTACAACTGAATCTCCATACCGAGGGGACTGCTCAGTCTTATTCTTTTTAGTAGAAATCTCTTCAGGAGATATAGATCTCTTTTTTCCACGACGACGTCGGTCTTCACGCCGAGCCTCTAATTCAATTCGGGATTCATGTTTCCTTTTAACCATTTCCCGCTCTATTAAACCAAATAAAAATCAATTTTAATATGCACTCAATACACAATAAAAAAAAATCTTTTGAATCAAGAAAATGGCTTCAAAATACTTAACCAAATAACCTACATGAATAACCAAATAATATATCTTAACAACATATCTGATCTTACCTGCTTCTAATAATCTTTTTCTTCTTTCTTGTTGATGTTTATCAAGAGATGAATGACGATCTGAATTTCTTTCCCTTTCATAATCCACATGTTTTTTACTTTCTTTATCATAATCTGAATGCTTTTTAGTAGTTTCTTGAGTCTGCAACTCTTTTGAAATTCTTTTACTAAGTAGTCTACTTCTTAAATCTTCTAGCTCCTTGTCACCAGATGTTTTGTCTCTATTTTCTTTTTCATTATTTTGTGTAGTTCGCCCTTCCTCAGCTAACAACCTTAATCTATTTTCTATTCTGTCTGGTTCTAAACGTTTTCTTTCAGCATCAGCATATTTATACTGACGGTCACGGCTCACATACATTTCTCGCTCCCTTTGTACATCTTTTTCTTTATAGACTTCTTTTTCCCTATAAGCTTCCTTAGGTCTACCACTTTCTCTATAAGATGTATCTCTGTACACTTCACGTTCCCTATAATGTTCCCTCTCCCTATAAGGATCTTTTTCCCGATATATATCTTTTTCCCTATAAATATCCTTATCCCTAATATCTCTTTCCCTGTAAATTTCTTTTTCCCGCACATCTTTTTCGCGATAAACTTCCTTCTCTCGGTAATATTGCTTATCTCTATAATAGTCTTTAGGTAAATCATCACGTTCTAAAGCTTTACTAAATTCACGTTTTTGCTGTTGTTTATCCGATTTATCACGTTCCCTGTTGAAAAAATAAATATTTTGTTGTACATCCCCAGAGCAATGAGTCAGACCTTAAATAATATGAGTATTATTAATAAATTAAATATAAATAAAAAAGGTTTTATCTCTAATATACATAATATATGTTAAACTAACCTGTAAAGATGTTTTTTCTCTTTACGCGTTGTTTCCTTAAATCTGTCTTTGGCAGAACGTTTATGACTTCTTTTGTCTCGATGAGATCGAATCACAGCTTGAGGAGGTTTTATTACTAGGGAGTCAGCATTATCTCTATCATCGTCAGATAGACTAAAATAAAAAAGACAATAATTAAGTAATTAATTAAAAGTATAGATATTCAATGCGCAATCACTGGATCAATATAACCTGACCTACGCTTTTGTTAAATACGTATAAATAGTAAGTAAATTAGAGAAAAGTTTTATGTGCTACACTTACCTAAAGTCCATTTCGTCTTGTACAGGGCTGCGTGCTAATTCACCATCCTCACTTTGATCGTCTTCGTAATTACTCATGGTACAATTATACAATTTCACTTTTCGAAGCCAAAGGATCACGGAACGGTGTAAGGTATGTGACAACTAGCTTTAATAGTTAATTTAATGAACTTATAAAACTTTGAACAATTATATACTTTATTAAATAAATATACAAAAAACTTGAAATCATGAATGCAAGAAAAATTGTAAAGTAAAATACCAATCAGCACTACAAACTTTGAAGAGTTAGAAACAGCACAGTCGCCATTTTGTTATTATGACGAAACGGGATTCGGAAATACTTAAGAGCAAATGAACGAATGAACTATTATTACTCAGGCTATCACAGTTTAGCCGTAACATTTCTATATACTTTGTGGTTTACTTTGTGTAATAATTAAAATTACATATAGGTTTATTTAATTTTAATATGTAATATAAAATACAGAATTAGTGTGGCATGTAGGTATATTTACATTAATATTATTCTAAAATATTTACAAATTACATTTTATGTAAAAAGACACAGCAAATTTAAATCACTTTAAACTAAAAAAAACAATCTTAGGATCGAATTTAAAAAAATAATAATATAGGACCACTTTTGAATAAAGAATCATTAATATCATAACATGCCTATGAAGAAATATCTTAAAATGACGCGTTTTCTCTTTTTTGTAACTAGATAAAAATGAGTCCTACAAACGATAACAGTAGTTGTGTTAGTTAAAATTTAAAATATCATGAAGACCTAACAATATTATAAAATCATTTAACAAACCGTGCATATAAGCCAATATAACAGAGTACTCTAAGGTATGAGCCTAAAAAGTTAATCATAGATGAATAGGTAATTTACATTATGAGAATCAGAGAATTTCAGCGGGACTCGAACCCGCGACCACTGGAAGAGTAAGTAGGGTCACAACAAACTGAGCCAAACGTGTCGTAAAAATAATTGTAATTGCTAGTTTTATATACCTTAACGAGTTAGCAAGTACAAGAAAAATTTAACGAACGCAGAGATAGTGGACAACCATATATTTTAAGAATAGAAATGTGTATGGTAGAAGTAAAATGATTGCAGACTTACAAGTAGAAAAATAATATCGTTTATTTAACAACTTTTGCAGAATGTCTTCTCAAGATTTTGAATGGTTGTTGAATAGTATTTACCAGAAATATCAAAAAAGATACAAACTATCGTGAATCCCTCCGTTCGTCCGTTAGCCTTCGGTGACCGTCCACACTGAGTTCGATCTAATGGCTCAAATCCTTTGATATTACCGCCACGCTTCGGATCGCAGATACACGTCAACGAACGCTGTCGTCCAAACATGGCCAACAAAACCCATTCATTGGAGTTCGTTGGGTTGGTGTGTAAGCAGCATTACGGGATTGCTAATTATGACACACAAGTAAGAATGCTATTTGTCAAAATTCACCTCATGAGTTATAGTAAGAATTTAATGAGCGATAATAACATCTTCTTAACAATTTTGGTGTCGTGACGTCACAAAACTTCTAAGAAAGTAAGAATGTTTCAAGCTTAAAATTGCTTGCTTTAAAGACGTCATGATACGAAAGGTCAAAGTAAGATTATAGTTTTCATGCTGAGTTCATAGTAGGTCCACATGTGTCATATTTCTGTCGGTCGCGGGTTTGAATCCCGTTGGGAGCATTCATTTGTGTGATGAGCACGAATGTTTTTACTCCAGTCATGGGTGTTTATATTTTTATAATATGTATGTATTTAAAGTTATCGTGTAGTGTATCAACTATCTGGTATCCATAACACAGGCCTCCTAGCTTACCATGGAACTAGATGGTGTGTCTTAATGTCCCAACATATTTATTTATTTATTTCGTCATCGTCCATGATCAAATTGCGAATGCAAGCTGGAATCAGGTGCCAACGATCGCTTGCTCAACCACTAAATGTATTTGGACGTTCCTTCGAAGGCCAACGAACGTACGGTAGGCAACGCTGAATAATCCTTCGTTGGCGTACGTTGGGCTGGTGTATACGCAGGAATAGACAAATCATTCGTCCTGTCGCATCAATATGCAACTAAAAAACCATCTTCTTTTTAAAGGTCATGATACCTACGAATAGGAGTAAGATTACTGTAATCTTGAAACAAAACAGTTTTGAAGTGAGAATATTTTAAAAAAGGGAGCGGTAAGGCCCTTGGAAACTTTACCTGTGGTTATTTTTTTCTAAATGTCAATCCGACTCTATAGTCTATCCTTTCTATGTCTATGCTCTATATTGACAAGGAGCGACTGTCAGAAATCAGAATTCTAATTTGACAATTGACAATTGACATAAAAGAAATTGGTGAAATTAAATTATTGTTTGTTTTCATGTTTCTCATAGAAAATTAAAAAAAACCTAAGGACGTTTTGTATTTATACTATATTAAAAATTGTTTAAGGTTAAATAATAAGTACATATAGATGAATAATGGTAAGTATAATAATTGTTGATTAGATACATTAAAACAAGTAGAAGTTAAATATAATTGTTACAATTACTTTTATATGAGGATACAGAAGGTATACTTTGCATATTGTATCTATATTTTAGAGAACATCTCTGCTAATAAACTGTAACTATTCTAAAATTGTTTTTGTCAAATTTCAGAATAATAAAATTTTAAATACTATAGCAAATGCAATAGATAATAAAGAGGATGTAAAGAAACGAATAGATACTGGTAAAATAGTACTTCGTGAACTACAATCATGTGTCGAAAATTGTCAAAATAGATTTGGAGGAAAATCTGAATTGGCGACAGAAGATGATATAAGGTATGATTTGCATAGAAATATTTCTTTCTGTGTTTGAATTTCGGTAAAACATTTTTATCCTTAAAATAAAAATTCATAATTTATTTTGGAACATGACTATGATGTTACTGATTTTGTAAAATTTTCAGAATAGTACATTTATGTGAAAAATGGGAAAAGCTTCTCAGCCATGGACTCAAGACAAATCTTTCAAATTCAACTATACAAAACTTTGTTTCAGCTGGACTTAATTTCACTTTCAATATAATCAATGTTGGTATGTAATTATTTCTTTATTCTATTGTATTAGCAAAGTAAAATAGCAAAAAATAATGTTCATATTTCCTTGTTTGCTCATAACAATAACATATTAATATGGACAATAACATGTTTAATGTTTAGGTAATTCGTTATGGAGTTATACTTGTCTTCATCTTACAAAACATGAAAAAGAAAGATTTAAAATTTTGTCCAATATCAACACTCCATTGGGTTACTTCAGAGCTTTTTTAAGAGCTTCTTTAAATGAAAGATCCTTAGAGAGGTAAATATAATTTGTATTTAGCATTTATAACTGGCATGTTGTATCTAATCACAATTTACATTTATTTTATTTGTTTATTTAATATGTTCTTGCAAACACTAGATATTTGCAAAGCTGGATTAGTCATGGACTTGCTATAGAATACTATGATGAAGGTGCATTTATTCGGAGTCCAGAAGCAAATTTACTTCCTAGCATGGCTTCAGGTAAAGCTATCTATATTAATAAGTTTTGTCTTAAAAAAAATTCTTTTCATGTTAATATTACCATGTATTTAATTTCTGTTATTACAGGCTTATCAACTGTTTTGTTTGCATTATCAATTGACAGAGCAGAACTAAATGAATCACAACAAATGAACAATATTAATAAAGCTGAGCTTGTTATACCATTGCCCACTCCAATTAGAACATCTGGCAATTCTAAAAAAAAGCCACTAAGACAAGTTATATCCTTTGATAAAAAAGAAGAACTAAATGAGAAGAAACAAAGGAAATATGAACAAACAATAGAAAGTTCCAATGAATCTTTTTGTAACAGTGCACCTGCTACTTGCCTTAATTCTCCAGATCCTAAAACAACCCCGAAAACTGTTTCCACTAGTGAACCAACAAGCTCAGATTACAAAAGTGGTATAAGGCATTTCTTTCCAGACAGTGTTAAAGCTATAGAGAATCCTTTGCAAATACTGTCAAAATTATCTGAAAGTGCCAAAGAAATATTCTATAGTTCTCAAAATAGCATAGATAAAAATAATATTACTAAAGATGACATGTCAGATTTGAGTGTCAATTGTTTAAAAATATCTGAGAGTGATAGTGAAGAGGTTGCAGGAAGTATAGATGGAAGTACATCATGTTTGGAGCTGTGTTTTACTGAGGATGAGACTGCTCCTGATGATAAAAGTATTAATTCCGTTTTAGAAAATAGAGAAAAAGAGTTTATAAATTTACAACTAAGGTACAATCAGATTGAAGCAATAAGTAAAGAGAAAATTTATAAGTTAGAGAAACTTGTTTTAGATTTAAGCAAGTAAGTATAATGTAAATTAGAAATATATGTATATATAAATTTTACTCTACTGAATTGAATACATCCTTCAATGGTTTTTCAGAGAAAATGATAGACTAAAAGAACAATTAAGAAACTATATGTCAGCAGTAGAAATGGGTAAAAATTTAAAAAATAGTAATAGCCAAGATGAGGAGATCAGTCAATATGAGAAGAAGTTAGTGCAGGTTAGAAAATATTTCTTATATTATCTGTAGATGTTTATATAAAATACAATTTTAAGCTTTATACTGGTATATTGACATTTTTTATTTTTATAAAGAATAATAATTTTGTAGGTAGCTGAAATGCATGCAGAGCTTATGGAATTTAATCATCATTTACAAAAGCGTCTGCAAGATTTAGAGAGTTCAGGGTTAGAGATTCTGGATTTACCAGAATCAAATGTAAAAGCTTACATTCCAAGTGCTTTCCTGGTTGGAAAGAAAACACAGTCGTACCATGTGTATCAGGTAAGCAATGGTGATAGTTTCTTAATGAAGTTAATTCGAAAAACATTATTTATACATTTAAATATATAATTGTTATATTTTTAAAACTAAATTGCTAAAGGTATTTTATAAATTAATGAAGTTTTAAACAAATAGCTTTAATTTAGGTTATTGTCTAACAATTAAAAATTAAGTGTAAACTTATGCAACTAAATAATATAAGAAATTATATATTTTTTATAACCAATATGATATTCTCACACATTGTTTTGTGATCTTCAGATATTCCTTAAAATTGGTCACGAGGAATGGAATGTCTACCATAGATACGCAAAGTTTTATGAGCTACATTCTCAGCTCAAAAAGTGTCATCCTGATATTGCTAATTATAAATTTCCGCCTAAAAAGACACTACGAAAACGAGTAAGTTTGTTTTGTTTAATATAATAGTATTTATCGATAAAGTGTAGCATGTTGTCAAAAATACACTATTTTATGTTTACAATAGAAATAAAATTAATAAAAAAATTTATATAACCCCTGATACAAAAAAAAACTAAAAAGAGTAAAAATATAAAATTTCTGTCTTGGCCTTTTAACTTCATTAAAAGTATTTATTAATATTTTGATGTCGGGGGACCGCTTATACTTTATCACTATCAATCTTTTTTTTATTTGTATTTTGGTTTTTATTTAATTTACTTAGCGGTTCCCCGACGCGGCGATGCTCATCATTCATTAATAGATACATAATACTTTCTTAGATTTAAATTAATAAAACTATCTGCTCGAATTTTTTCGCGGATTATTTTGATTTTTGGTTCACGTTTCGAATGCTTTACAGCAATCATGGTCGGGAGAGTCTCTCCCGTGACCATATTTAAAATTTTTGTGAAATGACCCTTTATTTAAAAGTAATACATAGTTTTAATGAAATTAAAAGGCCAAGAGATTTTTTTTACGGGGGTTACTTATAGTTTTTGATTTTATTTTTATTTCGATTAGGAGGATTAGGAGATGAGCTGATGATCACCAAACACCTGAACAGATCGTCACAAATTATAGCTAAGAACTATCTCGATCACGTCAATTTTCAACCGCATCAAAATCGGTCCATTATATCCATCGGTCTAGATGTTGTGTGTCTGCTCACTCTTGTGTTGTTTTGGGATATTGACATCGTTGGATTCTTTGATTCGTCTCTTTGAGCCATTCAAAATCTTGGCATTAGTCTCAATTATTTTGAAAAAATGGCATATTACTGATGTCATATGCCAAAAACCAAAAGTAGACCACTTACGCGGTTCATAAAAAGTATATCAATTGATTGGTGTCAACTACTCAATGATGAGTGTCGCATGCATGTGTGCAGGACGCGCGCGTGGTGGAGCAGCGGCGCGTGGCGCTGCAGGCGTACCTGCGCCACGTGCTGCTGGCGCTGCCCGAGCTGCGAGACTGCACCAGCCGCGCTGCGCTCGTCACGTTGCTGCCCTTCTTCGGGTAAACTGATCACTCACCCATTCACTTCAATTCTATAATATACTAGCGGCTCACCCTCGTTTCGCTCGGCTTCGCCTCTAGATAAACTAACTGAAATCTATTTCTCGGGAACCATATATTTTTCCGGGATAAAAAGTAGCCTATGTGTTAATCCAGACTATAATCTATCTCTGTGCCAAATTTTATCCAGATCCGTTCAGCTGTACTGACGTGAAAGAGTAACAAACATCCGTAGATATTCGCAAACTTTTACATTTATAATATTTATACAGACAGTCACGGCGGGTAAACTTAATAAATCTCGTCTTGTGTGCGGTAACTCGAATGCACTCTATTCCTTACTTTCATTGTACCGGTGATCAAAATAGTGACGCGATAAAAGTTGTCTGAGAAGGAGGTGTAACATCACCGATTTCTTAACTTCCTAACCTAAACCTACTGCTTCATTTTTTATCGTAAATTTTGTCACAATTTAGCGGGACTGAGATAAGTACAATGCTAAACTAACATTGTTTATGTAAATATATGTAGAGTACTCCACCAGCTGCACCTACCTATATGTAAATTCGTAAAAAAACTGTATAGATGAAAGTGTATGATTTTTTTATAAAAAGTTGTCATGACTGCCGACAGAAGTGAAAATTTAAAACTATAAACAAACAGTTGTTATTTTTGGATATTAAAATTAATTGTTTGATATTAAATTAAAATTTGTAAATTAAAACTGTTTACATTTATCTGGTTTTGACATCTATCGGCACTCTGAGTGTTAGCTTTAACACGTCACGAGACCATGTCGATGACGACTTACGTGAATTTACTCACGATCCAAACCTGCCTATAGAAGTTTTTACTTCAAAAATAATAATTGAAAAATGATTACAATAAATAAGCCAAATAAACCACTATTACTGTTGTAGTTTTTTTAATTTGTTTATTTTGAAAAATATACTCAATATTCAATCAAATTTAATTCACATTTAAATACTTTATAATTTTGTTTCAGAACATCATCGACCACGAATGAAAATGGCTTTAATCCAACACTAACGCGTCAACAATCAAACGACTCCACGTCTACTTTCGATGCACTTTGATGTTAGTATTTATTAAATAAATGTTCAAATCTATATTTTGATAGTAATATTTATAAAACCAATACGAAATGTAGAGACAAGTTAATTCTAGTATCGCAATAAATTAGTATCAGCTATTAGGTACAAATAATCTCACTTCAGACCATCTTAGTTTTTAGTGTTGGTTTTACCTCAGTTTATACATTAATAGCAGCCTGCGCTGGCTTTACCCGGCTGCATTTTTTTAAATATAGCATCACAAATATATTTCTCATCATTTTAACGTTTAAATTTAAAAAAAAAATCCATTTTAAGCAGTTCCCTATAATGTCATTATAGAAATACTGACATTATTTTATAAATTATAAAACAAATAAAATGCTTGCAGTAATAATAAGTAGAAGAGTAATAAGAAAAGCAGAACGGGCCGTAAATTATAAGATTTTTTTCTGTCAGAAAATTACTGATGCCCACCGGAAGGCACTCTGCTCGCATGTTTTGATCCCGCATTCTATCATAATTCTGACGTTGACATCCGCTTCTAATGAAATTCTAATTCGCTTCTTTTGTACTACATTTGCACACTTATCAGAAATTCGCAACAGTTGTCGAACAGACGCCAAAAAGTAGTGTCGAGACTCGCTGGAGCGAAGTTTCTGATAGGTGTGCGGGATGGTACTTGTAGGCGTCAGAAATTTTGGTATAGAAAGTCTTGTAATATGCGACCGACCGAAAGTTTAGAAATTCAAATCTAGATTTCACTCGTATGTCGAGCGATAGGCAGTGACCTACGAATAGTTCATCCTCAACAATAACAGCAGGTTTAACGTCTCAAGAAAAAGCAGCTTTAAAATTTATAATTTGTACGTTTAAGATTGCGCGTTGTATTATGAAACTGCTTTATCTGGAAAGTGAGTCCCTAACTTAGTTCAAATTCATATAAAATCATTAATCAAGGTGTTCAATCCCAGTGGAGAATTATTAGAATTTACAAAATGTTTTAAAAATCTAACAAATGGCAATATGAATGACACTGGATTTTTATATATGTATATATACATAGGTAATATTATTATTTATGTGAAGAATTATTATATTTAACATGTTATATCATGTTGTAAGAGATGCAAAATATTTTTTGTTGAGCTTTGTATTATACATAATGTATTATAATTTCTATAATTTATAGAATCTGTGATATAATTAGTTGTAAAATTGCTTTCTCTCGAATTCTGTTTTAAAAATAATGATTTATTAATATATTACTTAATAGTAAATGTTGATATCAAAATCGGAATTACAGAATTTATCAAAGCAATTAGTGAAATCTACAAAAAATGTGTTTAAATTTCGTGTTATAATTTTTTTTATATATATAAAGATAAAATTAATTGTACCTGTAAGGTAACAATGATTTAAACCACCTGTATCTGCGGAGATGAGATGAGATAGAGGAAACAATCATTTTTACCTTTTATGTAATTTCAATACAATTGACACGGATCATTATTTCATTCGCAAATTCGTTAAGATTTTCTTTTATAAAAAAAAATATATCCACTTTTATTGTGTGTAGTATTATTTATTACATAGCTAATAACCTTTTATTCTTTAGCACTATAAGTTACCAAAATACTTTGTACAGAATGAATGCCAATTTTTAATTTATTTGCATCTTTGTGTCCCGATCCTTTATAATTTATAACTTATTTGAATGCAAAAATTGTAAATTTTAATTTGTTTGAAATTTGGCTAAGATATACAATCCTTTGTAGTTGAAAAGGCATGAATATAAAGTTGATACTAAAAATTACCTTGTATATTTCGTTGATCGTTTTCAAACATCATATCACGATTGTAGCCTTATGAAATAAAGCTTTAGTTCGTGATGTAAAATAATTTACTACGAAAATATGTACAATATTATAAGCATGTAACTTTCACACAGTTAAGAAATATACGAATATTAATTTAAAATGCAATCTATCATTTATTTTGTGTTAGAGCTATTGATAAATCACAGAAATATATTCAAGAAACTAGCATTGCCCGCGGCAACGCCCGCGTTCAGATTACCGAAAACCATATTCTTAAGTTTTACATATTAGTATACTCTTACATTGCAGTTTTTGTATTTTTTCTCAGAAATGAGACATTTTCCCGCAGTAAAAAGTATCCCATATGTTAACTCGGATAACCAGCTATCACCATACCAAATTTCATCAAAATCCCTCCAGTCGTATTTCCGTGATGCGGTAACAGACAGACAAAAATTCTACAAACTATAGATTCGGCCTCTGTATCGATAATAATGTCCATTGCAATAAGATTTTCCAAAAAATATTTAATGTACAGATTCGGCTTAGTTCGAATTTTATTATAATATGTATATATAACATTCATTATTATCTTATAAAGACTTATTTTTATTACAAAACACCTGCATTTGTGTGTTCGCTCAGTCACGTAACTTGCAGCACATGAATATTACAGATATGAATATACTGTGTAATAATTAAAGTATACCATGTAGGCAAATGAAAGACGCTGTAGCAAATTAAATTCATAATTTTATTTTTATAATAAATAAAAATCAAGAAAACGCTCGTTTTGAGAATTTTCCATATATTAAATACATCGTACAAAAGATGTCAATACAAACTAAATCACTTGGTGCAAAGGCAAGCCTGTCGGTTGGTCGCACGCGCCCGGTCACTTTGAGCTATCTATGCAACAGGCATGAGTGAAACCGAGGATAGCCTCATATTTGTCTACATACACAACGAAGGATAACTTATCGATAAACAAAGATACCAACTGTCTTCCACTCGGAATGCATCTTTGCAGGCGTCTCCCAATTTGTAATGGAAAAAATATGCATTTGATCATGATTATAAAATGTTGTAAATAGAGGTATGTAAAAAGCGTTTAACACTTCAAAAGTGAAAAAAAAACGCAATAAGTTTATGTAGTATAATAAATAAAAATAATAAAATCATGTATCTAACTTAAGTATGAAATAATTTACTACAACTTTACACACTAAACGATACAAATGTATTGCAACACTCGCAGGAGCTTTGGAACCGTTGAATCGATCGGGGCTTATATTAAATTTCAGTTGGTAATAAAATAATCTCGAATAATAAATCTAAAAGGTGTGATTTATCTTTGGTTTTCTGAAACATGTGTCGACCACAGTTCCATAACTCCTTGCAGGACGCAGCGCGGACTGAATCGGTGCGGCGTCAAAGTCGATGGAGCCCGCACTGGTTAGTTATCTAACGTGATTATTTCGTAAGTACTTACATAAGTTGCAGATCTACTATGAAGCTAATGCATCTTAAAAGCAAATAGAGAACTTTAACCAAATAGAAGGCATCTAAGTCAAATACTATCCAAGTAAAAAAAAACTATAAGCCTTAGGATCGGTCAGTAATGGGCAAAAATAGCGTGAATGTGCTATTCGGAAACGAGCCTTCGACTCGATTATTAGATAGTGACTACGATTACACGAGTGTGAAAGCGCGACCGGGTCTTCACTAAAACATCACAGGTCAAAGCCAGCGTGAACACGACGCAGTTACGATCGGCCAAAGTAAACGTGATGAGGGGGATAACGTATGCCGTAACACTATATAACGAAGGGTTCAAATTTCACGAATATTGTATTAGAATCAAGACAAAGCATTGGTTACTGTTAGTTACTATTACCAGGCAATATGTATATTAGTTGATAGAGATTTTCATATTCTGCGGTAGAATATAAAAACCACCCACTAAAATTTCGCAAATCCATCTGGCGCAGACGGTGCCTAGAGGCTTAGAACTTGCTCGCTGCAGCAAGTCGCCCAGGACGCGCTCGGAGACCAATGCCCGCTATGCCACGCTCCCGCCCACTCGCGCCCACACGCGCCACCTCGCTAAATGCTCACGTCGGCATAACGAATCTTATCACAATATATAAAAATATATATTAAAAGAAGCCTACACTATAACTACACATTGAAGACGCACTCCGTTATACATTCGCCGCCTCACTGCGATGCGGCGACCGTGAGGTTACACGTGATATTTGAAAGTTTTTTCATTTGTGCTATATGCTGCCGCATAAGCAAGTTGGCGAGTAACTCACGGCATATTCTTAAACATACAGACAGACGTATTGCATCTAATGTTGACCGACGGAAGAAATGGCGGCGCTTCCGGTCCTATCGCGAACGTACTGGTAACTGGCTCGGTGATTTTGTACTAACGATTCTATATGCCTTTTGTCATTGTGAGCCATTTCTTCCGCGCGGACAGTGTCAAGACATCGAGTTTAGCACAATATTGCGGTTGTTTTTACATTCAAAACTAAATTTAATACTTGTCATTTTAATAAAAATATTTTATATATCTGATCTAGAGTGGGAAGCGACATTAACGATAGAATCTGAATGAAATAATACTTTTTCTTGGACAATCTAAAGGCTAATCAGTAAGGGACATAAGCCTGTGCCTATACATAACACGTCAAACTTTAATTCTTTTTTCAACATAGCGAACCAGTATAGACACAGACGGAACGACAAAGATCGCTAAAAGCTATAAACCTTTTTAAATACATGTGCACTTATTGACTTTAAGATTAGACAGCTCGAAACGTTAAGCCTAAGAGAACTACTTTATTTTTTTAATATTTTGTTGTAGCTTATATTAGGCTTTTTATAAACACATAAGTAGAATTATATTATGGATATATTTTCCAAGAATGATTTTTGCCGCCTTATTCTAGATACATCTATGAAGTTTCATTTAGATTCTCTATGACATAACGGCTATCTCTTCAACTTTCATCTGTAAAGCAAAAGAAAAATAATACATTTAAAAAATATATAACATACGATTTCAATGGAATATTTTAATCTACTTTAATATTTACGTAAGTATTAATTGACTTATATGTATTGAATTATTTGCATTTATATAATAGGAAAAAGTACATTAAAATTTTATAATGAAATGTATGTTTTTATTTACTTCTTCACGTTGTAACAGATCTAGAGATTCTTTTCAGTGTAATTCAAAAAGGAATATTAAAACATAACCTAAGTTTTACTCACATACTCACTACACAAATGGAGCCTCAGGTAAAAAAGGCTTATTTCAATGAATTTCACATCGGACTAATATTATGAATACAAAAGTTTATATTGTATGTCTTTGTTTTTTACCACTGAAACGGGACGGATTTTAATAAAATTTAGTACACACAGACATATGACCTGGACTTAGGAGTAACACATCCAAGTAAAGCAAGGTTAAATTGATAGTATAATACACAAATAATGTATAGAAATAGCGTACCGCGCGCACCAACGATGATGGATTTCCGCTTGATGTCCTGCGCGGGCGCGTTGGCGGGCCGCACCACGCCCACCGCGCCGCCGCCCACCAGGTGCCCGCCGCCCGCGCGGATAGGTTTCGCTGGGAATCACACAATTATTATTTTTATTGTTTTAAATACACATTACATATCGACAAAACATAGGTATTAGGATAGTACCTTTAGACTGTCTAAAGAATAAAGATATACGTACAAGCAGTGAAAATTTTGTTTCTATAACCAGCGTTTTAAGCATTACAATATACCTCTTACGGCGATTTCCAAAAAGCTATCTGCAACTTTCCTTACTAGAGATATAATAGAAATATAAGCATGTTTATTGAGATCAAATATATGTTAGCGAAAATTGTTTATAATTATTGTATATCTCTCCAAGACCAGGAACTAGTAGCTTTAAACAGTAAAAATGAGGATCATAAAAAAATATTTATTAAAATATAAGCATGGGTGCACTTACCGATTTGTGCCTGCACACCTCTTCGGGCAAGATTCTTAGCGCGTACTGCTTCCTTGATTCTATCGACTTCGAATTGGTATCTCTTACGGTCACGCATAGCGCCTTCCTTAGCTTCCTGTTAAAAAAAAAACAACATTATAAAAAATATGAATACAAATATGTTTTTTATATTTATAATAATTTCATATGCAGACTAGGACCACCTCACTTCAATCGACTTTCGCTTCGTTTTTCTTATTTTGAAAATTAATGAATAATTTTTTTTTCATAGAAAATTTGTCTTCCCACAACAAAATATAAATATTTTAAAACTCCTTTTGTAGTGGTTACTCATGTCATATGAATCTTCCTTTTTTTTGAAGTGTTAATAAATCAACTTTATGTAATCTATACTAATATTATAAAGAGGAACCGATTTAGATGAAAATCTCGGAAAACATCCCTTAAGGGAATAGAAAAGGGGATGAAAGTTTGTATTGGAAAGCAAGCTAGGGGCGAACCCAAGCGGAGCGAGGGTGAGTCGCTAGTTATCTTTATAAATAAGAAGAATATTGTATGGGATATTTGACCTTGAGCGCGGTCTCGAGCGCCTTCACCCGCTCCATGGTAGCGCGCAGACGCTTCTCGAGCTTGGGCAGCTCGCAGCGCAGGTCGGCGTTGTCGCGCACCAGCTGCTTGTGCACCTTCGTCAGCTGTTCTAGATTGTTCTCCAGGAACGAGATCTTCTGCTTCTGCGCGAGCGACCCGCCCTCCTCTTCCGCTCCCTCCTCGGAGTTCGTTGATTTCTTTATTCTGGCCTGTTAGCATTTGTTTATATTTAGCTTATTGCTTTATGTAAAGTGAAAAAAAAAATTAGAAAAAAATAAGATTATTTTGTGTATTAGTATTTCAAAATTAAAAAAAAGTAAAATTTGTTTTTTTGTCATCTTTAGACAATTACAGATTTAATGTACATATTTCAATAGGGAAGAAGCGTGATTTTTTTTATTTTTATACAATAACTTACATAATACTTTCTTAGATTTACGCGAATGTTTGACATTATTAAATAAAACTATCTTTTCGGATTATTTCGCGGTACCGCGATAGTTTTATTTAATAATGTCAAACATTCGCGTAAATCTAATAAAGTATTATGTGAACCAGTACGGACTGGAAACCGCAAACAAGATACGCCGGTTAGAAGATCTGAAGACAAAGCGCGCAAGATTATTAGCATCGTTAACTTTCTTGAAGAGATGTCGTGATCATCGTCTCATTCCTACGTGTGTGAAAATATCTTCCAAAAAGAACATACGAGGAAGCGCTAAGATCGTAAACCAGGCAAGTTTTAAGTTGTTACGGACAGTGATTCGACAATAGCTTACATCGATATAATTGTATAAAAAAATATCCAGCTCCAAAAAACAAATTTTTTTTTTGAATACCATACCGATACGAAAACTTTGAACGCCACTTTAGACGTCAAAGTATTTTATACACAGAATAATGACGACTTGTACTGAAGCAATTTGTAACGATAAAATCGCTAATCGCTTTGTTATGATATACTCTGACGTCACATACAGTCTGACCATTGGCATTGCGTTTCAACTACTTTAAATACTTACATATTATGTAGGTGGGAAATTTAAAGTAGTTGAAATTATTAATTTTAAAAAATTGAAAAATTATTAATTTTTCAATTTCTTAATCAAAGAGAAATTACACTAAAAACATTAATATAGACTTAATTCAAAAAATAAAGGTTATTAAAAAAATATATTTAACCTTTACTTAAATCACACGCATATTCTCTATTCACCTTTTTATTTACACTGTTCTCTCCTAGCCGATTCCGGCTACGGCGGACAATCTCATTGAGATTAGCCAACTGCGCAGGAGATATTATAGTGCTCAAGTGTACGCGCAGACACAAGTGCACTCTCTATACCTATCACTCTCATACTCCGGTGGGACGACCACTCAACACGACCGGTGAGAGTTAAGGCGCAGGACCGACGGCTTTACGTGCTCTCCGAGGCATGGGGGTGAAACACCGCCAACTTCCCAACTCCGGGCTGTTACTGAGACTTTCTATACAGAAAGACTTAATAACTAAACTTGGCCCGACCCGGGACTCGAACCCAGGACCTCCGGGTGTGCAGCCGTACATGCTAGCCACTACACCACCGAGGCACACTATTAATAAGTTAAATAAACTTTATGAACCATATTATAATGTTAAGCTTACCTGCAGATCTTGTACAAATAGCTTCCTTAAGTTGTGGAGTGTCTGCAACTCCTTAGCCACAGTGTCTTCCAGACCCTTGAGATCGGCGCGGGCTTGTTCGCGTCGCTCCACGCTTTGACTGTATACGAAAATTACTATTATATACAATTATTATAAAATAAAACAATAATAAAAAGATCTAGTAGATACTTAAATCGAAGTGGTATTATTAAATGACACAGATGCCTTAAATTAATGGGAAATTTAATGTCTAAAATAACATATTAAGCACAAATTAAATATAATATTTGATTATGATGACAGATTAAATTGAATTCCGAAGGGTAATGCGGCGGGAATGTGGTTAGATTTACCTGAAAATGCGATCGAGCTATATCTCCCGGCACGCACCCCATGCATATTACGCCGCGCGCTGCTCAAAGGCCACATTGAAAATGCCAGCTCCCGGCAGAATGAATATGAATGGGATACGTGCGGAATAAAATGACAACTTAAAAAAAATAAAAAGCGAGCCATTACAAGACAACTACAATTACTTGTACTTACATCGACTAAATTAATAATATACCTAAATATTATTATATCACAAAATATTTAACCATTTCGTCTCCTCGTGTCATGTAGGTTCGATCTAGATATGAAAAATAAAAGGAAAAAAATTGGTAATGTCATACATTTTCTAGATCAAACCGGGGTTTCAAATGACACTTTACGACCAGGCGTCGGATCTGAATCCGAGTGCAAATAGTTTTTACTCAGAGATTGATTGTGTACAACTAAAATGGTAATGACTGGAATTATTTCTATTTGCACAAGTTCACAGCCGATCGGTCGAGGTGACATCACTCTTCGGCATTTCGAGTGCTTACACTGACTAAGGAGGTGATGTGGGTACTAGGGTAACAGTAAATGCAATCAAATATAAAGAGGCGTGGATGGTCAGAGGAATGAATGAGCTCCAGAGCGAGGTGATCATGCTATCTATAAAAATAATACTGCTGGTCTATAGAAATCAGATTATATGCGTCATTAATTAATACTGAATTGATATCGAGTCTATTTATTTAAGAATATTAAGTCTCACTTGTTCTGTTTAGCATATATTCTAATATCTATTTATTGCATAAAATATAAATGCCGTAATTGGAATGACTTCGCGTGATGTTACCTTTTAAATGCTTCTAACTTATCACACCGTTACGCGGACGCACGACGCACGTACGATACTTAATTAACCTACGATCTACTTTCCGATTAAAACATTTTAATATTTAAAATATATGAATGATATTTGTAAATATAATTTTTCATGAGATTACGTTTGAAATGCTTTCGTTAGAAGACAGAGTTTACTTATGGTCGTCCGATGTTATACAAAAATATCTTAAGAAAAATATTTACGCGTCGATTCTCTATACAAACATTCAAATCTATTTACAGAACTATGTACATTACGCTACCTACGAAGGGTTCATTCGTGACACATTCCGAGGACCATGCGAAGTTATCCGCCATATTCAAAATTTTGTGCTAACTTGTTAAAAATAATATAACGACATTTTTATAAATATACAACACAGCACTATAACGAAATATTTGACTAGTGCGTACCGAAACTGATCGACGCAGTTCACAAGGCAGTGATATAAAATAGCTTAAATATTACTTTGATTTAACAGTTACTGAGAAGTAACTACTACTGTAACAGGTACCGATTTAGAACAACCATAACGTTAACGATGACGCCACAACTTACTACGTAACGAGTAAACACCAAAAATACTTACATATATTGTAAACTACTGTTACTTTAACCCTATATAGTAACTTCATAATCATGCTTTTACTCACGAATACAGAATACGGCCATATATACATACATGCATTATATTATGTACTAAATAAAGAAGCATTTCATTAGTAAGTCCCTTTCATTTAGTATATACTTTTGTAAACTTATTAGACTTGTCACGATGAACTTTGAAGCGAAGCATTAAAATGCGTTAAAAATATAAACGATGGATCCCCAAATAATTAATGATTCACTAAAATGTTACTTCGCATACATCTGTCTCGTACAAAATTCTTCTAAAACTATTTTGTATTATTGCCACTTAAAATCGTAGGAGACAGTCGCATCGAAAACAAAAGCGTTAATGGATTGTAACATGGATCTCTCGTACACCGAAATATAAGTATTCGTAACAAAGAACAATACAACAACAAAGGCACCGATACACGTAAATAAAGAGTACGAGTTGTGCGGAGACCCATGACGTATCACAGCTGAAGCGAGCCGACAGACAAGCTTAAACTAAAACGACAATCTGGGGATAGCGGTGGGTGAGTAGGATCATGGTGACCGAGATGAGCAGATGTAGCTGGAGGGGGTGGATGTTGCAGGAGTGGCGCGGGGAAGAGGACTTGGGGATTGCCGAGAGCGACTTTTCCTCGCCGGAAGCCTTTTCGACAGTCAGGCATGTTCCGTATGCGAATCCTAATTTCTCTCTTTTCGGAGATATAATAAAATCTCTGAAGTCATCCTCCTTGAGTAGCATCTGCTGATTGGCTACTTCTTTCTCTGCCTTATCGAGGTTACGGCGCGGGGAGCGCGACACTAACATGAGTTCCTTGAGCTTGGCGGACTTGTCGGCCTCCTCGCGCTTCAGCTTGTCGTAGTCGTCCTGCAGCTGCTGGCGCGCTAGCGTCAGCTCCTGGTACGTACTGTGGATGGAAACGTGCAAATGTTATATTGTTGCAGACAATAACACAATGTAAAATTCAATTCGATTTTAGCCTAATTATTAAATAGTGTGAAATTTCTAGTTTAAATACGTCACATTGTGAAACCCTCTGTAGATGTGGTTTTATTCAAGAATATACAATTCGGTAATTTTCGGCAATAATTATATTATCGAATATAAACAAAAAATACGTCATATAAACCGACTACTAAAATATTCAACCACATTGTCTCAAACCTTGCATCTGTAATACATCTGTAATATATGCCCACAAGGCGTCAACATAGCATATGAATAAACTAACTCCTTGAGCTCCTGGTGCTGGCGCTGCAGCGCGGCGAGCTCGTCGCGCAGCGCGGCCAGCTGCGTGGCGTGCGAGGCGCGCAGCTGCTCCAGCTGCGCCTCCAGCGCCGCGCGCACCTGCGAGTCCGCGCGCTGCTCCGCCGCCGCCAGCTGCACGCGCTCTGCCGCCTGTTATATCACAATCAATCAATTTCTTGCAGCTATCTGTCTAAAAATTTTACATTATTTTGTGACATTCAAAATATATGATTACTATTTTATGTAAAATAAATAGATAAACAATCTATCAAACTAAAATATATAGCTGGGTTTATATCGTGTTCACGACAAAATACATAGCAACAAGCTATTCATGTCAACATTGAAATATTAACCATAAAATAATTTTCCTGTTATATACAGTCAACCCAATACCAATTCCTCAAACTAACTAAGAAAGTTTCTAAAGCGTTCATTAAATTGGAACAATTTATTTCATTTCATAACGACGATTCATCACGCGAAACACATTACTTATTTCAATTATTCAGTGATAAATATTTGCTTAAACACAAGTGAAATAAAAAAAATACAAGAATTTTAGAATATATTGAGAATGTGTAAAACTTAAATTTTATCTCTTAAAAAGAAAAATATAAACAAAGTATTTAATTGTTCGTCGTCATACACGTGATTTTAGGGTGGTGAATTCCCACAGTAGTGCTCTTCTGTTAAAACTTTTATGTAATACGACAGCTGAATCCGCAATCATATTTCACATAACTGTACGAAGTATATTAGTGGATCCAGCGCGAATGACGCGATACCGATTAATTAATTTTATATGACAGTCGGGAAACTGCTTAAGAGTTGACGGATTATAAGTGTAAATTGCCACAAGATGGCTTTTTTGGAAAATTGGTATTTTTGACAACTCCTGGATTGGACAGCATTTCCGTTAAAATCTACATATCTTAATATATATAATTCTTCTGTACGTGTGTTTGTCACCTTACTCCTCCTAAAGGGCTAAGCCCGATATACATGAAATTTTGTGTGTAATTTCAATAGGCTCCTAGATAGTTTGAAAACACAATTGGACCCGGTAGGTGGCGCTGCTGACGGTGTGTCAAAGAGTTTGTTTTTCTAATAGTTTGGACGCGGGCGAAGCCGCGGGTACTGCTAAATAATTATTAAATAAAACTATCTTTTCGGATTATTTCGCGGATTTATTTTGATTTTTGGTTCCCGACGTTTCGAATGCTTTAACCAAAAATCAAAATAAATCCGCGAAATAATCCGAAAAGATAGTTTTATTTAATAATGTCAAACATTCGCGTAAATCTAAGAAAGTATTACTGCTAAATAAATTGGTATTTTATATATAATTTTTATTTATTTTCGTTGTAGTTTGGGTACATACCTGCAGACGCGCGCATTCCTCGCGCAGCTCGTCAGCCGCCTCCTCGAGCTGGCGCTTCTTGTTCTCCGCCTCCCGCATGGACTCCGCGAGCGACGCGCAACGCGCCTCGTGCTGCGAGATCAGCAGCCGGCACTCGCCCAGCGACCGCTCGTACTCCTCGATCTGTTATATATATTAATATTACATTTACCTATTCTAATTTTATAAAGAGGAAAAATTTGTTTGTTTATTTGTATCGAATAGGCTGCGAAACTACTGAACTGATTTAGATGATATTTGGTAAACAGATAGTTTGAGGCCCTGGGAAGGACATAGGATAGTTTTTATCCCGGAAATTATCCCTTAAATGAGTGATAATGGGGATGAAAGTTTGTATGGGGAATCAACGAATAGGGACGAACCCGAGCGAAGCGAAGGCGAGTCGCTAGTACTTTACTAATGCGATAGTTTGTGTATGTGTTGTTCTACAGTGAAACTTCTGGGCCGATTTGAATGAAATTTAGTACACATACAAACTATGACCGAGAGTAAAAGATTGAATACTGTTAGGTACCTTAGAAGGCATTCGAGTGAAGCTAGAATAAGTCGTTTGTATAATAATAATGATTTAGTAATGAGGAGACAAAATAGAAAATATTGTTAAAAACCAGTGTAATAAGGGAAGTTGGTCCATCAGATCAACTATTCACGCAGTCGTGCGGTATATTTCTTTCCGTTCGCTTCGATTCAAAAAAGACTTAAACCCGTCAGGGTTTATTGTGCAATTAATAAGATAATTTTACAAGTTTAGTAACAACTATATAAATAGATAATATAAATAGATAATATTATATAAATAGATAAAAGGTATCTTGAGTTTGATTGCGGCTGAATTTCGCATGTCATATTGATGCCATTAGACTAATAGAAAACGAACAGTTAGATAAAAACGCGAAAAGACAAATTTTCGTCATAGTATTGTAATAAAATATCAATGACAAAACAATATTGAACCAAATTAAAATGATAATTTTTATCATATACTTAGCACCATCAATAATTATTATTAATCAAACAACATTTTTTTTAATGTTTTATTACTCCTAACAATATATTTTATTTTGAATTCTTACTTGTCAAAAAACAAAATATTACAAAAAATAATCATTTTTGTAATATTCAAACACTTGAGACTTTTTTTGTTCCATTACTGATATTTAAATTAAAAAATTAAATATAGTAAATCCATTTCCAATAGGAAAAAGTAAAAATAAAAATACATATGTATATGGAAAATTCAAAAGTCCTGTTAATTTACAAAATCTAAATACGCTTAGCGCACGTAACAAATTGCGCATTATCGATGTAAATATCCAATTACGCATTTAATCAGACTAATTATAAAAATAGTAAACTTTGTACGTGTTTCTTCGTCCAATTTGCGCTCTTATCTACATCCAGTTTCAAATTCATCTGCCTTTCACTACAGCCTATTTTGTCCACGACCTAAGTGAGAACTTATGCTAAGCATAAAACAACATAAGAATTCAAACAAATAAAACACTGACCTTTTGATTAGCATCAATATTGGCAGATTCCAAAGAGTGGCAACGCTGCACAATATTCTTGACTTCGCTCTTCATCTTGCTAATGTGCAGACGAGCGACGGTGAACTCCTCCTCGAGCTTGCCCACAGTGTCCACGTTGAGCTTGAAGTCGAGCTCGGAGCCGCCGACGGCCGCGCCGATCTCAGCCAGGTCGCGCAGCAGGTTGGTGAGCAGCTCGGCGATGCGCTTGCGCTGGTGCGCTGACAGGTCGCGCAGCTGTTGCAGCTCGGCCGTCGCGGTAGTCAGGGCACTCTGTTCGTTCAATCATTATAATATAACAAATATAATAACATTATTTAATAATAATTCGCAATATTTGGTACTCCTTTACATATAAATGGCTGAACCGATTTTGATGGCAAACAGATAGACTAATGAACCGGAGTAACACATCACCTATTTTTTAACACCTAGGGATGAACCCCGACAAAGCAACAGTACGTCGCTAGTAGTACTATGAAACAATAAACTTGAAATGAATAATAATTCTTTATTAGCTATTCTGAGAATAATCATCCTAATGCAATATTGAGTGTATATTGATTACACGTTCATATAATACAAACTTGCTTACGCAATTTATGTCATAAATGAAGACTTACAAATTTTGATATTTTTTAATAAATAATTATCGTTAAATCCATATATTACATTTCATAGAATACGTAGTGCATTTCGTTAATTTCTATAATAACCTGTTTAGTCTGCAATTCCTCAGAGAGCTGGTCGCACTCGCGGCTCTTGCTGTCAACCTCTTGCGACTTCTGGTCGTAGTTGACGGCGAGCTCCTCGAGCGCCTGCAACACCTCCTTCACCTCCTCTTTAGCGGCCTCGTTCTCCTGCTGGATTCGGTTCATATCCCCTTGAAGGGCTTCGTAGTCTCGTCTGAGGAAAGATTTAGTTTTAGGAAAAATTTGAACACGTTGATCAAAGAAGATTGAACCTTTGTGACATTGCCAACCACCGTCATTTTTACACCAGTTTTATCGTACGCCACTCAAAATAAAAAAAGTAAAATAGCGTCAAGTGGCTCATGCCAGCTTCCATAGAAAAATTTTCGAATCCCTTTTACTAGGTATATTTGCTATATTTATTAATCCTAAAAGAAAATATTCATAAATAGAAAGAAACATAATATGTTAAATACAAATAAGATTATCTCTTGCATTCACATTGAATATTGATAGTCTTTGTTTTATATAATATTTTTAGATATTAATAATGGCAATCGCATACTATAAAACGATTCTGCCTACAATCTCATTATATATTCCGTTCTAATTCCGACCAATGGCATTGTATGCATGCACAGACACTTAATGATTACAAATAAGTTATTATTTTTCTAAAACTTATTAGTTTGTTATTTATAGATAATGTAATATGTATATATACTCTTTATTACACATAAAAACAAAAATTACAACTATTAAGAGAAAATTGAAGACAAAGGTGGACTTATCTCTAAAAGAGATCTCTACCTAGGCGGTGAGAAGGATTGTCATTTAGCTTTACTTCATTATGTATAATTTAATACAAATAATCTTGATTTGAGTTTATTTCAGGACAAAATATGTTTTTCCAGATGGTTAAATCCATACTAATATTATAAATGTGAAAGTATGTTTGTTTGTTTGTCCTTCTTTCACGTCAAAACAGAGTGAAGAATTGGCGGAAATTTTTGTGTTGAGATAGTTGGAGGGCTGGAGAGTGACATAGGCTACTTTTTACCGCGGGAGATGATCTCCTCCCCACGTGAAAACACGTTATAATACAAGCCAAAAAAATATTTTTGATCAGAATTACTTGAAACTTGGTATTAATGCTCTTCAATACATTGAAATAAATACGTGTTTTAGCATTTTTCGAAACTCATGCCATAACAGCTACCCCCTTAATAGGGGATGAAAGTGTGTGTGAAATGTACCTTTTTAGAGTATTGATTATAGTTTTAGCGCGAGCGAAGCCGCGGGTCCTGCTAGTATTTAAAATAAATATTTCAGTTTTTTTATAGTAAATATAATACTAATAATTAGAGATAACATGATAAATACGAAATAAATAACACTTTCGGCTTGTAGAATTTAGTCCAACTTAAAATAAGTAGAGCGTGAAATCTAATATACGATTCGGCTATAATTTAGGTTTTCTTTATGTAACTCTTACCACTAACTGTATTACATGATCTGTGATGAGTGATGACATACAATTTTAGTATATTAACTTTGAAAGTAAGTAACATAGTAATACATATATCGCAATAAATTGACGACAAGTTTGGTTCAGTTTGTAGTGACCCTACTTGCTGTGCCAGCGGTGGCAGGTTCCGAGTCCCGCTGGAGGCATTCATTTGTGTGATGAGCACGAATGTTTGTACTCCAGTCATGGGTGTTTATATTTATAATATGTATGTATTTAAAGTTATACATGTAGTTATATATGTGTAGTGTATCAACTATCTGGTATCCATAACACACGCCTCGTAGCGTATCATGAAACTAGATGGTGCTGTGAGTTAATGTCGCAACCAATTATTATTATTATTATTATATATACTTTAATAATTTAATTCAAATTTTATACTCATCTTAAATCAAATTTATATTCATATTTCCATTTCTACCACGGCTTCATTGATTCACTATTAGAATATTATATATTAAACACATAATTTAATCAATCTATAAAACGCATATCGCCTACACATGGAATAAGTTATAATAACGATTTGTAAATTGGATTAATACGTTGGAATAACATAGATAACAACAAAATGCCGACATACGCACCTCGTGCACGCGATCAGTTCCTCCTGCTCCATCATTTGCTCCTTGAGTTTCTCCACCAATTGCGAATGTTGGTTGATCTCCTCATCCTTGTCGTCCAGTTGCTGGTACAGAGCCTCCAGCTTGGCCTGCGTGGCCGCGTCCTCGACGGCACTAGATACGGCGACTGGTACCGGCTATATAGAGTTATGATAAAAATATATATGGATATCATATTATTTTCTATACCTATTCTTTTTCTATATCGCCTTTTTTTAGTTACGTAAAACGCTATTCTTATTAGTAGGTAGTTCCTTTAAATATAACAACTCTTTATTTAACAGATCAATGTTACATGTATAAGTTAATAATTGCAATAAAAACCCCTCAAAAATCCTTTTACAGTATATTAATTTAAAAAAATCCTTCGTAGGATATATTTAAGAAAAATACCACAAATTTGCCTATGAACGCAACATAATACGATTGATTTGAAAAAAAAATAGCTCTTAATATCGAGTAAATAGAACATTAGCCTATAGGAACTCCAAGACAGTCACGTTGTTCGCAGGATTTAATTGCGACGAGTATGAATATACCTTCCCTATAGACAATTTTAGTATCTATTCAAACGTTTTTTATAAAAAATTCTACAGAGATCCTTGTATTGTACCTTCTATTTGCAAAATTCAATGTTAACTAAATATATAATACCCTGCACATACTATAATGACATACATACACATAACATGAAAATGCTACAGCTTTAATTATATTTAACACATGAGTTCTGGCAAAACATGAAAAACAATAATCGAATGCAAGGCATTTCTTGTGGGTTCATTAAATGGCCCTGACTATACAGTCATTATTAGTAATCTGCTAAATACTCTGCTACTACCTTCAATCGATGTTTGCACACTGAAGGTTCATAAAATTAGAGGTGTTCTATATAACTTTATTTTTACCAATCTTAAGAATAATTACCTTATTATTCAAAACTAAAATACATTTTACGACAAAGTAGATATTTCAATCTTAATATGTCGAACATTATTATTATGAAACAGAAACAGCAGCGGTTATGCTTGTTTCAATATTGAATAATTAGATGCATGGTGTTATGGTCACCATAACCCAATTTTGAAACATGGTGTTGAAGTGCAATCTATACTAATATTATAAAGAGGAAAGATTTTCTTGTTTGTTTGTTTATACCGAAGCGAATAGGCTCCGAAACTACTGAACCGATTTAGATAAATGCATCGGCATATATTTTATTGCAAACGCAAAAATAGTTGATTTCATTTTATAATGCCAATAATAGTTTATATTATTTCAGCTAAAACATTTCGTTCAATAGAATATAATAAGCTAAGTATGAATTATGTAAATGTCTCTTAGAACAGGGCGAAACAGCGAAACGGGTTATTATATGTACATTATACATATTTAAAACTTGGTAATAATTTTACATACAAAATTATATCTATAATAATATTACTATATCGAAACTAAAAAAAGTTATGAAATATTTAGGAAAATTATTCATTCTCTATACAGAAAAATAATTTTGATTATTGAAAATAAAATTGTCTGTAATGTCAAAATAACAGCTTTTACTACATTCGTATGTGAAATTAAAATAATATATGCTAACTATAAGAAAAACACATCTTTTAACATTTTTGTCTGTTTGTTCCAGCTAATCTCCGAAACGGAACTTTCACTGGCAGATAGCTGATGTTATAAGAAATAACTTAAGTTACTTTTATTTTAGAAAAAGAATTAGGGTTCCGCTCAAAAAAATTCAGTTCAAGTAAGTCGTTAGTCATTTATAAAATTCTATATATTATAAATATAATTAGACATAGTGAGTAATAAAATGATGTTATATACGTTTATGACGAATTATAGTTTCGTCCAGTAATAGGCATATCCACCTACGTCTCAGAGTCGTGTGTCATCGCACTATGTTATAAACAGATCCCATTGTAAACAAGGGTTAAAATACCAAGTTCTAAACGAATAAAGCAGTCTTTATAACTGTAGCAATATTCAATTAAGTTTACATTTAATTTGCCTTTAAGAAGGATGAAAGTAATCTTGTATTATTTCCTTTGCTGCATTTAATACTTGTATCTCAATACATATTAAATAAACAACGTGATATTATGAAATATTTTTTATATTAATGTAATTTAAAAAGTGAAACTTCATTTATATAGTAATCAATTAAATAATAATCTATACTAATATTATAAAGAGGTAAAGTTTGTGAGATTATCACACCCTTACTTTGCTCGGGTCCATCCCTAGCTTGCACCCAATACATTTTCATCCCCATTTTCACCCCCTTAAGGAATGATTTACGGAATAAAAAGTATTCTATGTCCTTCCCAGGGTCTTAAACTATCTTCTTACCAAATTTTATCTAAATCGGTTCAGCAGATCCGGAAATTACCCCCTACAACGCCACAAACTTTACCTTTTTATAATATTAGTATAGATAAGCAGACTAAATTTCAATAATTTTATTGGGTTCATACAAAAATTAAAAAACGCACTTGATATGATGATAGCTGGTCATCCGGGTCAACATATAGGATACTTTTTACTGCAGGAAAATATGTCATCTCTGAAAAATCTGTACTAAACTTAAAAATATAAGTAGGGACGAACCCAAGGAGAGTGAGGGTGAGTTGCTAGTAATTATATATAATTGTAAAAGGTACTCACCGCCACAGGTGGTTTCTCTTCAATGAATGATGTAACAGGAGTAACTGCCTCAATCTCCACCAAGTTGACCTGTTCCTCAGGTCTGACAGTCTCTCCTGACCGCCAGCGGTTGACTTCAGCCTCCAATTTCTCAACCTTAACAAAAATGTACCAAATAAAAAATTATGTTTAAAGAGAATGTCTCCTTTCAATTAAATGTAAAAAAACACAAGATATTATCATAGCATTAATAAAAATATTAAATTATAGTTTTGTATTGCTGTGTTTTATCTTTATCACCTTTCCTTTTAGCCTAGCCACCTTCTCTTTCTCTCTTTCGTACCGACGTTTCCATTCCTCAGCTGTAAGTTCCTCATTAACACATACAACATTTTTAACAGTCTTGGCCCTGCGAAATTGAAGTATATATTGATAGAATATTTTACAAATCCTTTATATATAGTACTTGCAGTAAATAGAAAAACACTAAATAGAAGTAAATATTTTTTTTAAATTTATTTTTAATTTACAAAACATCCAATAATGAAAACTTAAAAACTTAAGCAACATAATGTTATAGATGAAAAAAAATTGTTACCTTTTACCAAAATCAAGAGTACTCTTGGTTTCACTTTCATTGAACGAAGCTGGTGAACAACAGATGACTATAGTTGTTCTAGCATTACCACCAAGCGATTCTTGTAGAATACGCGTCAATTTGGAATCTCTGTATGGAATATGAGATTTATTGCCATCTGCTAAAGCAGAAATTACATTACCCAAAGCTGATAGTGATTTGTTGATATTTTTAGCTTCATCAAGCACAGTACCTTCAGCACCAGTTTTTGATACCTAAGATAATAGATTAATTAGGGAAAATATAATTTCTAGAAATGGCATCATTTTACACCAACAACAAACCTTTTCAGAACCAGCCAAATCCACAAGATATAACTTTCCAGATAATTTCTTCTGGTTCTCTAAATTTTCTTGTTTAACATTTATGAGGAAGACTGAATGAGATCTAGATGAGTGTTCATTCATATCTGAAAGAAATTATTTGTATTATACCAATAATATTTGAAATAATATATTCAAATATTTAATTTGATGTATTCATCTTCAACACATACTTGTTACTGCAATATGTCTATTTGATTTTCCTTCCTCTATTACTTCAAATACTTCTTCTGGACTTGACACAAATCTTTCTGTAGCACCTTTTACAAATGGGACTCTGTTTTTGTCTTCATGTACACTGAGGTTCACCTTGGATACTACAGTTAAAATAAATATGATAAATGTTCAAATTTCAATAAACAAATTTAATGAAATAGATGTGTATATGTGTTTACCATCTAAGAGATCCCGAATTTTGTCCATATAAATTTCGAAATAGGACACTTTAATGTGAAATTCAAGGTTTTCTTCCATGGCATAGATATGATTAAAAATATCATTAACTATCCGTGGAATTATACCCTGTTTTCCTGGATCCCCTGTGAATAAAAATAAGTATTCAGAAAGCAATTGCAATACAAACATTATAATTTAGCAGAGCTATAAAAATAGACAATGCCAAAAATTATAATATAAACTTTAAAAATATTGAACTTATTTAAATAATACCCACCTATGACACCCTCCATGGTATGTGTTTTACCAGAACTTGTCTGACCATATGCAAAAATAGTACCATTGTAACCAGCAAGTACATCAGATACAATACTTTTTGCTGCTTCATTGTAAACCTTCTCTTGGGTTGCGTTGGGTTTAAATACTTTGTCAAACAAATATACTTTACCCTATAAGAACAGTAATAAATTATATAAATTCAAATAATAACCAATAATTTTATTACACATATAAATTAATAATAAGTCAAGTAATGTTTTAAATGAGATTACATCACATATGAATTATTCAATTCAACTATAAAATAAAACCTGACCAAAATGAATATTAATGTGAAATTAACTATTTATTCATGTGAATTATATTATCCATTAAAACATCTAATGTTTGCAAAAATTGTTATAAAAATTTGGAAAGTAAAATATCTGCACAGATTACTTTAATTTCAGAAAGGTGAGGATGATTTTAAGAACAATTTTGCAAATAAAACTACTTTTGTGTGTTAGATGTCTTGCCTGATAAAGGTGGATTTTAGATTCAGAATTGAAAAAAGTCAAATTTAATTTCAAATATTTCTTGGTTACAGTTAATATTGCTTTAAATTAATCAATATTATTATTCTACCACTGCAAAAAAATATAAATTCATAAAATATGCTTTTCTAGAACCTGTAATTTTCAATTTAAATTACGTTTTAAATATGTTTTTAATAAAAATAACCTACCAATATTGCCATATATATAGTAAACAATAATAAAAATATAAATACACAAATTATCCAAGGAATTCTCAGGTCAAGGTCGAGAAAGTATTTGTATTGATTTTCGACAAAGCAAAATCAGATGTCTGATTTAGTTAAAATACACAGAAATTCTTCAAATTTTCATGATCGCAATCATAATCAACGAAGCGGAATAGAAAAGAAAGGCCATTTCGTAGCAGGTGAACACCACTCGTAATGTATTAGTCATCATGGTCTAAATTAGGGCGATGATAGAGAACTACAATGTGGGTATATTGATAATAGACTTACCCCTATGGAAATGCAATTATCATCAGGTCCTGAAGGGAATTTTACGATGAATTTGGAACCAGCTTTTTCTTCAGAGTCATTGAGTGGCCGAAATCGGCAAACGACTCTTATGCTGTCTTCAGCAGCTATTTCGCGATCTGCTGCCATATTGTAAAATTATAGCTTACACTAAACACCGTCTATAGAATTAAAAAAATAAAACGTTACTGGAACATAAAACCGTGCATGAAGAACTACAAAGTTAGAATTTGTCACTGGGAAATCTTCATGACAGCGGTATCAAAATGTCGGCCATATTCTGTAAAGAAGAAAGGCCTGAAATGAGTATCTTATTGGTTGAAAAATCAACAAGCTACCAACTAAAGCAGAAAAAAATCGATTCGCTGCCAACACTATAAAATATAGTTAAGATACGTTCATTGGTGATAAATATGTTATTTTCATTTTATGGAGAAATAAAATATTGACTCATTCACATAAAACCTTAAGTAAAAAACGTTATTGTGGTTGAACATAGGGAACATCTGATAGTAAAGCAATGAATGAGTGTACAGTGAGAATTTTGCGTATGCGTTGTAAAATGACGCGAGCATGGCTCGTTCGCGCGAAATATTTGGATAGGACAGAAACGAAAATTGTTGTGTCTTCAACACTAATTGCTTGATTTAAATGAAACAAAACAGGTGTAGAATTTATGGTGATAAAGTTTCAAGTGATTTAACAGACCCAGTTATATTCTTCATTAAAAAAAACTTATGACGACACGTTTGGTTCAGTTTGTAGTGACACTACTGGCTGTGACAGCGGTCGTGGATTCGAATCCCGCTGGGGGCATTCATTTGTGAGATGAGCTGAGCACGAAAGCTTGTACTCCAGTTATGGTGTATATATATATATATATATATATATATATATATATATATATATATATATATTATTTATTATTAGGGAAACATACAGTGTTACAACACAAACAACATATAACAATAAAAATAGTACATACACCAATAAAGTTTCCACAAACAAACAATTCATACAGTAAAAGAGTAGACATTTGACAAAACAATAACACTAGAATTATGTTAGCAGAACATGCATTAATATAAGATATGGAGTTAAATTATAAATCTTTTAGGAGAAGTACATTCCTAATTTTCCAATTTTCCTTTTGAAATTTTCTACAGTACAATTAATTAAATCAATGTCGTTAAAGTGAACATTGTAATCACGACAGGACCTAGAAAAGCACAAACAGATCTATCCCACGGGAACCGTTCATTTTTCCGGGATGAAAAGTAACTTGTTGTTTGACTGGCAATATAAGGTATCAGCATGCCAAATTTTACTAAATTAGAAGCGTAAGTTGTTGTGTACTAAGCTGTATAATTTACTATAGTTTTTTAAATATCTCACGAAAACTCTTTAATTTTCTGGGATGAAAAGTATCTTAGATATTGAGCGGGGATATAAGGTACTACCATGCAAAATTTCATTTAAATCGGTTCAATAGTTTCGGAGATTAGCCCGTACAAACAGAGAAACAAAAAAATTGAAAAAAAAAACTGGATTTGTTCTATTTCTCTTTTTTCGGGATGTAAGAAGAGAACTGACTTGGTTTTCAGCATTTTTTTCTAACCTCTACAATTTTATTATATGTATAGATAGAATAAATAACGTATAATAAAACAGTAATATATAATAATGAAAATAGTTATAGCGAGTGTACCTTAGGAGATAGACATATACTATGTAGAACTTTTCTATAGACCTTTTTAAGACTTACAATTTTCTTGCACAATGTTTTGATCTATCTCTTAAGGTTGAGCCAACGTTAGCCATATAAATTTCTAAGGACGATTCGATAGAACCAGGTATTGTGTTTTCCCGTTGGAATGAATAATTTGCCTGTCGTAAAAGGTTCCTAAATGTTGACCCGCGTACTAAGTTCTATCATATAAAATTAAGTAAAATCGGTTGATAACTTTTTGCGTGAAACGCGCACATCGATTTGACTAAGTTAGTTTTATTATACGTATAGTTAAGAATAAATATTGCGAGTGTAACTTAGGAGATAGACATATACAATTCAGAACTTTTCTGTAGGACTTTTCAAGATCTACAATTTTTTAGTATATTGTTTTGATATATGTATGTATGTCTAAAGGCTTAGCCAGCGGAAGGTTTCTAGGGAGAACTCGATAAAACCAGTTATTATATTTTCCCGTGTGAAAGTAAGATTTTCTTGAAGTAAAAGGTATCCCAGTAAGGCAAGTAAGTAAGGCAGTGGTATCCCAGTGGTAACGCGCTCGCTTGGGAAACCGAGTGAAGCAAGTTCAAATCCCGGGTCTCGCACCTCTGATATTTTAACGTGCGAATAATTTCTAACACAATTACCACTTGTCTTAACGGTGAAGTAAAACATCGTAAGAAAACCTGCATGCCTGAGAGAACCTAGCAAGTTTTCAAAAGACATGTGAAGTTCGCCAACCTGCACTTATCCAGCGTGGTGGACTATGGCCTGATCCCCCTCGTACTGAAGGGAGGCCCGTGCCCAGCAGTGGGACGTTAATAAGCGTTGAATACATACATACAAAAGGTATCCTAAATGTTGACTCAAGTAATAAGTTATCACTTCACCAAATTTCGTTGAAATCAGTACATTACTTTTCGCGTAAAACGCTCACGCAAAAACAGACATACAGGCAAACAGGCAAACAGACATTTTTTTTAATTACTATTTTTGGGGTCTATGTTGTGTACATAATACGTTACAAATAAACAAAAACATCTATCCCACGGGAACAGTACATTTTTCCGGAATAAAAGGTAACCTATTGGTTATTCTGATGTATGAACTATATTATTGTAAAGTTTCATCAAAATCCAATCAGTAGTTTTTGTGTACTAAGCTGTATAAGTTACTATAGTTTTTTGACTATCCCACGGAAACTCTTTAATTTTCCGGGATGAAAAGTAGTTGATTTATTTTTATCATATATGAACTATATTACTGTAAAGTTTCATTAAAATCCAATTGGTAGTTTTTGTGTACTAAGCTGTATAAGTTGATATAGTTTTTTAACTATCCCACGGGAACTCTTTAATTTTCCGGGATAAAAAGTATCTAAGATGTTGCCCGGGGATATAAGGTACCACCATGCAAAATTTCATTTAAATCGGTGTAATAGATTCGCAGATTAGCCCGTACAAACAGGAAAACAGACAAACAACTCGCTCGGGTTCGTCCGTACCTACGAATATGTTGTATTATCTCTTTAACCATTTGTCCAAATTATATGCAGTAAAAGGGAAAAGTCTTTTGTTTTAAACATTTTAGACGATAAATTTACTTATTTTGACAAGACTTCATAATTGTTGATAATATGACCAATAAACATGACCTACCGATTTAAATTATTTTTTTAATATAAAAAACTACTTTTTGTGACTTAAATATAAAAGTTAGACATATGCTTTCGCTGACTTTTATGTAGGCATTATTAAGCTCTACAACTTTTCTCTAGAATATTATCATATATCTCTCATCGTTAAGGCAGCGTTCGTAAGAAACTTTTTCGTTCGACCGTTTTTTCTCAGACTTAATTTGCAAATCCGACTACCACGAAAAAGCCTTTTCATTTTTCGGGTTAATATATGCCTATGACACTCAGAAAAAACGTGGCTTTCTATTGGTAAAAGAATTTTGAAAATCGGTTCAGTAGATCCAGAGATTACCCCCTACAACGTCACAAACTCACAAACTCACAAACTCACAAGATCACAAACTTTACCTCTTTATAATATTAGTATAGATTTCATATAAAAACATTTGGTCTTTAAATAAACGACGGCTTGCAAGAGAAGACACAGCAGGACAGCTTTGATGTAGAGAGAGGCACCTAAAGTTCAAATGTTTAATAAATTTAAACTGGACCCTCTCGATTTCCTCAATGTAAGTTTTACGGTTGGGGTTCCATATTATTGATCCATATTCCAGAATCGAACGAACCAAGGTATTATACAGTAAAAGCATTGTAGAAATATTCCTGAAGTCCTTACTCACTCTAAGTATGAAACCTAGCATTTTAAACGCTTTGGAAGTCATTTGATTTATGTGGTATTTGAACAACAATTTGCTATCTAGAATTATACCCAGATCACGCACTTCAGTAACTCGCGTTAATACTTCACAACCAAGTGTATATGGGAAATCTAAGGTAGAAAGCTTCCTAGAGAAAGAAATAACGGAACACTTTCTATTATTCAGATGTAGATAATTATTGGAACAATATGAGTAAAGTCTGTCTAAGTCTTCCTGTAGTAGAGCGCTATCAGAGAGACATGAGATTTTTCTAATAATTTTCTAATCATCAGCATAAAGAAGAAATGAACTATTCTTAAAGACAACCTTAATTTCTTTCAGGAATATGTTAAAAAGCAATGGTCCCAGATGAGAACCCTGAGGAACACCAGAGGTTACATGCACGAAAGATGACGTATGGCCTTTAATAGTAACAGCCTGACTTCTGTCCCGAAGATATGAGGTTATCCAGCGTGGCAGATCTCCGTGTATACCCATCCCTGCAAATTTTTGAATAAGAACATGATGGGGAACCTTGTTAAACGCTTTCGCGAAATCGGTATAGACTACATCTACCTGGTGACCCTGGTCCATGGAAGCAGTAACGCGATGGACTAATTCAACGAGATTTCCTTCGGTTGATTTTTTATTTACAAATCCATGCTGTTCGTTAATCAAAAAAGGTCTTAAATTGGGAAATATGCAATCGTACACAATCTTTTCAAAAATTTTACCTAATATCCATAATTTAGAAATTGGCCTGTAGTTCTGAACCTCGTGTTTATTACCTTATTAAAGAGTATTTATAATATGTATGTATTTAGAGTTATATATGTGTAGTGAATCGACTTTCTGATATCTATAACACAAGCCTCGTGGCTTACCATGGAACTATATGGTGCTGTGTGTTAATGTCCCAACATATTTATTTATTTTGATCCAAAACGAACGAACGATTTTTCAATTATTATTTCTATTGGGAAAGATTTCTTTAAAGGAGGGCGCTATACGTATGATCTATTTACATTCATTCTGAGGTTAATTAATTTATTATGATATCTCTTTT